CCGCCGCCAGCGGGGTTTGGGACGGGGCCGCCGGTGGTGGAGGGGCGCTGCCGCCGGCCGCGCCGCGCGGGTAGTGCCGCATCTGCAGGTGCGGCGGGATCGAGTCGAGCCACTCCTGCGCCGACGCGTCGAGCGCGTAGGCGAGCTCGTGCGGAATCGACTGGCTGGGCGCGCCAAACGGCGGGATGGCCTCCCACAGCTTGGAGCAGAGCCGGGCGTACCCGACCATGCACTTGAGATACGGCGAGTCGAGTTCCTGCAAGGGACTGGGTTAGAAAAAAAGGATGGGAAGACAAGGGCATGGGGATCAGCGGTGGTGGCTCACGAGTTCCATCAAGGTAGGGTCAATGTCGCTGTCGACCAGGGCAAAGGAGAGACTGGTGCCGAAGCTCCATCGACGGTCGAGGATGTAGCAGCAGCAAAAGACGCGGAGCGCGCGCTGCCGCGACGCCGTGTCGGTAAAGTTGTCGTAGAGACTGCGTTTCCGGTGGAGGCCCATTTCCAGGGCCTCGCGGGCGGCGACGCCAATCGCGCGCCAGGCCAGTAGCTCGTCGTCGCTGTGAAAGTAGTAGATGCTCTGTTTCGCTTGTCAGCAAGGCCATCACAGAGAGACGCGCCCAACGTACCATGGACAACAGAAGCTGGATACCCCGCAGCGACACTTCGGTCTGCGAGATGCGCGCCGTGTTCTGCTCCACCGACGCCGCAATCGCTGCGCACACATCATTCTTGCCGCGTGCCTCGATCGCCACGCCGACGGCAACGGCAATTTTGGCAATGTCAATGTCCGTGGCCGTCAGCGGGCGGCCGCCGGCGAAGGCCTCGTCGTCGAGCAGCTCGGGCAGGCGTATGATGCGCAGTATCTGCTCGGCGCGGGCGGCGAGCTCGAGAATGTCAATGTACGGGTAGACGGACTCGGCCTCCTCCTCAAAGACGCCCATGAGGCGGGCGGCCTCGGCGGGCGTGCAGTGCTGCCAGAACTCGACATCGGCGGCCACGGGCAACGGCGGGGGGGCCGGACCGCCAGCCTCGGGCGAGCTCGGCCCGCTGCCAGACGGCGACGACGGCGAGTCCGGGATGCCCATGCGTGTCAGGGAGCGCTCGGCAATCATGAGGCCGTAGGCCGGACGCGTGGGGCCGACAAACTGCGGGTGCTTGGGGACCGCGTCGCGCGTGACGATGACGCTCGACGGGGACCGCGTCGAGGACGGGTCCGTGTGATGACCGCCGGCCGGGGCCGACGTGGCACCCCCGTGTGGCGACCGGGGCTGCTGCTGCCGCAGCTCAAACACGGCTTGGGAGAGGTTGGCGAGCTCATGGCGGACCTGCGCCAGCTCATCGCCGAGGATTTGTATTTGGGTTCTGCGCGTTGCGTCATCAGTAACACGTTGTGCATGCTGGGGAGGATTGTGCCTGTAGCCAGGGGGTGGTTTGGCGTGTTTTGCACGCGTGTGAGATCTCAAGGGGGTTAGGGTTTGGAGTAGCTTAGGGAAAGGGGGCCAACAAAGGCCGCGAGGCAAGACAAGAAGACAAAAAAGAAAAGCAAAAAAAAAGGAAGGAAAATACGCACCCGTCGTCGCGCTTCTTGTCGCCCTTGGGCGAATTGACAGCAAAAATGCACAGCAGCTTACGCGTGTTGCAGCGCTCGCAGCTATCGCCGTCCGCGTTTGGGAGGCACTTGAGCTTTCGTCTCTTGCACTCATTGCTGTTGTTGCGGTCAAATTTCCGTCAGCACAAAAAACAGAAAGCACGGAAATGGCGGAAAGACTAGAGAAATTCAAAAGAACAGGGAGAAATGTACCAGGCCAGCGACGTGTACTTGCCACGCTTCATTCGGGGTGTATTTTCCGTCGACTCTACGGGCGCGGTTCGCTTCGGAAGCGGCGCCGACGAGGACTCGGCCACGGCCATGACCGGGCTTTCTACCGGGGACTCGTCCTTTGGCATGGCTTTTTTTTTCCCTTCCTTCACGCTGGCATTGCCATTAGCTAACAAAATAGGGCAATAGTAAGCAAGGCTGCAAGTCGTTCCCAAAAAAAAGTTGTGGTCCCCGTTTGCGGTGCTGAAATTCCGAGAGTGGGCTGTGGTATGTTCTTGTGGTCTTTGTAGATGTCCAGGGCAAGTTCGGGCCGGGTTGTTGCGGAAACGCCGGTTCCGAGGGTTCCGGCTATCCATCGCCCCCAGGTCACGTTTCTGTCGTCTGATTGGGCAAGTGGCTCGCTCCGGAAACCCCACCCTTTCCATGTTCCTTTTTCCCCGCACTGGGCGATCAATCTTTTGCCCGCCACCTTCATGCACTTGTGCCGCTATTGGTGCGTGCCAGCTAGAAGAAGGGTTGGACGGACAGGGGGGGTGATGAGGAGGAGGAGTCCCGCCTCTTGCACCAAAAGTGCGGAATGCAAATGGGCTGTCAGCCAGCCTGTAACCAACCATTGATGTGTCATTGTAATGTTCCTTGAGGAGGGGGGGCAGGTGCGCCGGCGAGCGATGCATATTACTGTAGCCTCTCGCCCGCCCCTTTTTAGATTAAGTAGAATGCAGGACTAGGAAGGATAGTGTCTTGTAAGAAAGAAAAAGAAAGAAAACAACACCGTCACAACCATGATCAAGTCTGCAGACCTGCTGGCGCTTCTCACCGACCATGGCCGTCGCGGCACGTTGGAGGTGCTCGCCATCACCTTCTTCCTCGCCCCCGTCATCTACGTCGTCGTCAACGAGTTCATCCGGTACAATGCCCGCATCAGCCGGCTAAAGGGCCCGCGTGGTCTTCCCGTCATTGGCAACATGTGGGCTATCCGCGTCAACGCCGCCGAAAAGTATCGCGAGTGGGCAAAGACGTTTGGCGACGTCTACCAGATCCAGCTGGGCAACATCCCCGTCGTCGTCATCAACTCGGCCGCCGCCGCCAAGACTCTGTTTGGCTTCAACCTGCAGGCGATGAGTTCGCGTCCTGAATTCTACACATTCCACAAGGTGAGTCCAGGGAAGACTAGCGCAGCGCTGTCCCGCGCGCCGACTACAAAGCACAACGTACATGACGCTCACCAGATAACAGGTCGTCTCTGACACGTCCGGCACCACCATCGGCACGTCGCCCTTTAGCGACTCGCTCAAGCGTCGCCGCAAGGGCGCCGCCACGGCCCTCAACAAGCCGTCGATCCAAATGTACATCCCCCACCTCGACATTGAGTCGCGCGACTTCATCAAGGAGCTGTACGAGTACGGCCGCGCCGGCCAGGAGCCCACCGACCCCATGCCCATGATCCAGCGGCTGTCGCTGTCGCTCGCCCTCACGCTCAACTGGGGCGTGCGCATGAAGAGCCAAAAGGATAACCTGTTTGACGAGATCACGCACGTCGAGGAGGAGATCTCGCGCTTCCGCTCCACCACCGGCAACCTGCAAGACTACATCCCGCTGCTGCGCCTCAACCCCATCAACACGCACTCGGCCAAGGCCCGCGACGTCCGCCGCCGCCGTGACGTCTACCTCTCGCGCCTCAACGACGGCCTCGACGCCCGCATCGCCGACGGCACCTACAAGCCCTGCATCCAGGCCAACGTCATCATGGACAAGGAGGCCAAGCTCAACAAGGAGGAGCTCACCTCCATCAGCCTGACCATGCTGTCGGGCGGCCTCGACACCGTCACCACCCAGGTCGCCTGGTTCGTCGCCTTCTTGTCGCAGAACCCGGATATCCAGGAAAAGGCCGTCGCCGAGATCCGCAAGCTGTACGCCGCGGACCAGCCCATGTGCGACGAGCTGGACGACCAAAAGTGCGGCTACGTCGTCGCCCTGGTCAAGGAATCGCTTCGCTACTTTACCGTGCTGCGACTGGCCCTTCCGCGCGCCTCCATCAAGGACGTGTCGTACGGAGAGGCCACCATCCCCAAGGGCTCCATCCTCTTCCTCAACGCGTGGGCGTGCAACATGGGTTTGTTCTCTCCCCACCCGGGCCACTAAGTAAACCAAAAGAAACAGCTAACCATGTCCTTCACAGACTCAACCGTGTGGGAGGACCCCGAAGTGTTCCGCCCGGAGCGCTGGTACGAGCAGCCCGACGCGCCGCTCTTCACCTACGGCGTCGGCTACCGCATGTGCGCCGGCTCGCTCCTCGCCAACCGCGAGCTGTACCTCGTCTACATGCGCCTCCTCAACAGCTTCCGCATCGAAAAGTACGACGACGTCGACTGCCACCCCATCACCGGCAACGCCGACCCCACCAGCCTCGTCGCCCTGCCCCAGCGCTACCGCGCCCGCTTCGTGCCCCGGAACCCGGACGCGCTCAAGCTGGCCATGGACGAGACCGAGGCCATGGAGCGGGAAGAGGATGGGGTGACGGCGTGAGGAGAGTAAGGTTGATCCGGAGGCTGGTGGTTGGACAAGTTTGCAGTTAGGGTGATTGGCTTGTATGAATGACGATAGGATGCCCATGTAGTATCATGACAAATTACTTATTTTTGAAAGTCTATGTCAGGCTTGTGCTGGTTCTCCGGCTGTCAGACGCTGAAACCGTCCTGGTCATGGAGTAATGAATATGTGCCGAGATGCGGGCAACTAAAAGGTACCTCGCCCTGTGCCCAACACAAACCGAGGTGTGATAATGATACCCGCCGTCGGTTGAGAGACCCCCGAGTTGCATCCTCTTTTCTGTCCAAAACCACGTCCCTTATTCTCCTCCTCTTCTATCCTACACACACACACACACACACACACATGACCTCTTAATATGCAGCTCAAGGCCCTCCTCACCCTCGCCGTCGCCAGCCTCTGCCACTCCGACGCCCACTGCTCCCGGGGCGAGCACTGCAAGCAGCAGGGCGAGTTCCCCAACATCAAGGTGTACAAGTAAAGAAACAGAACAAACAACGACGATGGAGATCAATTGCTCAAAGACAACCCAGTCGAAAGGGTTGTCAAGAACCGATGGAGGCTCATCTATTTCGGGGCCGGCTGCGCGGCACAAGGGTGGACGACGGATGCGATGAGCAAACACTCTGCTTTGGTACGATGGACTAGGGTTTCAAAACGTATATATTCAATAATCTATTATGCAAAAAAGAAAAAAAAACGAAAAAAAAACACCCAATTCACCCTCCGGCGTGACTGGGGCCAAGAGTCTAAGCCAACTTGTGCCGTCGGCGCTCTGGGCCATGCATCTATACTATAAATCAGTCGCTAATATACCCCATGGCGCGCGTTCATCGCTGAGACGCCTTGAGTCTCTTCATCTGCTCCAAGATCCTCGTCATGCGCGCATCATCATCATCGCCCTGGCCGTCCGCGCTGGCCGCGTCGTCTTCCTCGTCAAACGCGTCCTGGTCATACTCCTCGTCGTCGGAGGCATTCTGGTTGCGAAAGTAGTACGCGTTGCGGTTAAACTCGTCCTCGGAATCTACCTCGTCTTCTGGGTAGTCCGCGGTGTAGTGGTTTTCGGCTGCGACCAGACGTTAGTTTGGCATCACCGAACCGAAGATAGAATTGCATATACCGTTTTCATCTTCCTCATCCTCATCCCAATCCTCGTCCTCGTCATTCTGCGCGCCAAAGAATAAAAGACTCTCCTCCTCGCCGTCCAGCACCAAGAAGCCGACATCCGCCGGCGACAAGTCCAGTGCCACCGAGTTCGCCGGGACGCGAACGTACTCCTCAATGACCCAGTCGTCCTCGTCTCCGTCCTCGTCTTCGCTCGCATCCGTCATGTTGGTGTCGCCCTCCAGGTCCGTCGCCGTCGTGCCCGGGGCCGGCGGCTCGGGGTGGCGCTCGTGGTAGCGCTTCGCTGGCGCCCGGGGCTTGAACCGCGACGGCGACAGCGGCGGCCTCGCGGCCTTTTGGCGCTCTGCCTCCATGCTCTGTAGATTGGCGCCCATTTCGCGCATGACCCAGTCGTTCATGTCGGCGGCTATTTTACTCATGTCCTCGGCGCCGCGGTTCGTCTGCGACGGCGGGAGGGGGTTCGCGGCAGCCGCCTTGGGCTTGGGCGCCTCGTCCTCGGTCGACAGCGGCGGCGGTGTGGCTATCCTAGCCGCTTCGCGCGCTCGTTTGGCGACGACACCGGGCCGCTTGAGGTCTCTGGTCTCGACGCCCCTGCTCTCTTTGGCCGCCTCGTCGAGGGCCAGCATGCTGCGCCGCGGCTTGGGCGCGAGCTTCTTGCGTCGCACACGCTCCACAAACAGCGTCGGCGTGCCATGTCTATCTCCCTTCGATAGCGATCCGGCCGCGTCACCGTGAGCGGCCGCGGCCGCCAGCATCGCCTTGGAGACGCGGAAGCGTCGCGGCTCTGATACCCCCGGCAGCGTGAGCTTCTCGGGGTCCTGTTGGGTTTGCTTTGGCGCCCCATTTCGTCTGACCTCGTCGCCCGCCTTGTCCTCGGCCGTCGAGAGCTGGATCCGGGGTTGTGCTTCGGGGCGGAGCGGAGAGGGCCCGGGAAGCAGCTGCTGTTGCTGCTGCGCCGTGGAGCCACGTCGCTGGTAGACCCAGTGGCTGCTGTCGCTGCGATGTCGTTTGGCGCCTTGGTCAATTTCTGAATAAAGAGGCCTTTAGTCAGCCATGCGTGTCTCCTACTCGCTCATGTCGCACGGCAGGAAAGGCGAGGGGAGAGACAAACGAAGAAAGGTGACGGGGGCTTCCTCCACCCGCTTGCGTTTGACGCGGATGACGTTGGGTGGGAGCGACATGGCGAGGGTCAGCTCCGATGGACTGCTGGTAAATGATGCGACTTTTCAGGATGAGGTCCCAAGCACCTGCGGTGCAGCGTAGGGGAGGCGGAAATGCACGACAAGATGTGTTGGAGGATGCGGAAATAATAGGTCGTCGTTGGCTAAAATTAAGCAAGTACCTAAGTAGTGGCGGGGCGACAACGACTCACCCTCAGCACATGTGGGGTCAGCGCCTGTTGGCCGCCCTTGTAAGTCGCCGAGAACTCAGGAAGTTTAGTTTCGATAAGAATTTAAGTGGATGCATTTACTTTTATGTTATTTCTCAGCTTATCTGCAATAACTGTCGTGCCATTGATTGATAGAATTTAGGACTTGTACCACTGGCAGCAACCGCCGTGATCTTGGGCGATTGCAATGCGACAGGGTGGTATCAACGAGTGACTTGGTCTGTGACCAAGTAGGTTCGGTCTCTGGGTTACATGATAAAGATAATTGTATTGATTCAAATTCAAAGGGATATAAACTAAACTGGCTTTTAGTAAACAAAAAGGAAGAAACGCCAACCAATCGTGGTTCGGATATATACGTCACGGCAAGGTGATTATCATCGCTTCGAGGCTCTCATCATGAGACCTTCGCCTTTGTCGCCGACGGACGTTTCAGCAATATTTCTCAGCTCGCGTTTCTGGTTCCCGCCAGTGGGCTCCTCTGCAATCGAACCAAGCGAAGCGACGGACAAGTTACGTTTGCTGCCATTAGATAGCCGGTTTTCTCTCCGTCGAAAGGAGGAAGGGCTGATGGAGCCCGAAGAGCTGTCATCCGAGTCGATGCTGCTTCTGCGGCCCGAGCGATGGCTGTCAGCAGCAATAGGCTGCTCGCCCATGCTGGACTGGATTTTGCGTAGGGTGCCCAGGATGGACGACTTGTCGCATGGAAAAGCTTCTAGGGTAGGATCGTTCAGGTCCACGGGGGCGTCGCTCATGGTTCTAGGTGATGTTTCCCGGTGTGGTTCACTGGTCGTGTCTTGGCCTTGGTCGGTGCCGTCGCTGAGGGTATAGGCGCCGAGTCGCTCATGGGCGAAGAGGGGAACAGTGAAGCTGACGGTATCGTTGCCGTTTGTGGGCTTGACGGGCTCCTTTACTCGAAGGATGTTGCTCTTGGTTCCCAACGCGCTCTTGACTACAACGTCTTAATTTTAGCCCTTTTCCAAAGTTGTCGTGGACTTACCAATCGGCTTCTGGTCATCGACAGCCCAAGGGCCATCTCTGCCTTGGCGAAACCTGTACTGGTATTCCTTTCCAGGCTCGACCATGACACAGATGGAGTATGTGTTTGTTTTCCCGGATGGCGTCGAAGGGTGCATCTCCTGGAGAAGCCAGGCGGGCTGGGAGAAGGTGCCGGCTATGAAGAGCGGGCCTTGGCAGGGAGCGCTGTACGTGATTGTGTACGGTATGGTATGTGGTTGAGACATGGTGAGGGAGTTGGACGATTGCTGTTTGCAAGACGTAGTTAGGGGTCGTAAAGACGTCGCGTTACTCTGTTGAAGAGATTGCAGATCAATGTTGAGAAGTGAGGTTGTCCGAGTCAACTATGACGGTGGTGTGACGGGCATGTATAGCAAGCGCATAGTATGGATAGGGTGACGCGGGCGGGGCTGCAGGTAGCCAGCAGGTGGGATGGTATGAATTCTTAGTGGGCTGGAAGGAGGTTGCGAGTGATGAAATTGGCAAATTTGGATAGAAATTGATGAATCGGCACGCAAGCAGAAATGAGGCCTTTAGATGAGGGACATGGAGGCGCTGTTGTGGTCGGCCAGGCGGGCAGTGAGGAGGGCAGGCACGTGCAGGGCGAATCGGGCGATGGTGCCGGAGCCGGTGCACGGACAGGCAAAGGACGGGGAAGCGGGAAGCGGAACAGGTGTGTAGAAGAAGGAGTAAATCGAGTTGGCGACGGACCAGGCTGGGGCGGGAGTAGTTGTGAAAAGGCGTATGAGTGTGGAAAACGGCTTGGTGGTGAGGTGAGTAAGGTAAGTCAAGTAGCGTTGCTCTGGTGTCCTTGATGTTGTGGCTCTCAGGGACGGGATGCAAGGCGCAGAAACAGGCTATGCAGCGGTTCGTGGAACATCGGGGGTTTTATTACAAGTTAATAAGAGAGAGAAGAGAGTGTGTGTCGGTGCAGGCTGCAGGCAATTCGATTCGATGCGACCTGGGTAGGGACTAATTTGTAAAGGAGGGAGGGGGTGATGAAAAGAAGAACACCTAGCCTAGCAACCTAGCCCTCGATGCTAGTTACCCCTCGTGCGCGGGCTGGCATGTTCCATGCATTTACCTGTTGTGAGGCGAATGAGAGGCGAAAACGTGCCCGGAATTGTCCATGCATTGGGGCCCAGCTTCGGCCTTTTAGTACCAGTTGGGTGGAGGATGGACAGAAGGCGGCGCTAGGCCAGCCACCCACCCCACTGTACTTGAGTAACTGCCGTAGGCAGGTACCTACCTATAAATACACCCAGTCACCAGTGTAGGAGGTAGGAGGTAGGCAAGTGGGACGCTGTCCGTCTGCTTTCTGCTTTGATAGTGCCGAGGAGCAAGCTGACAAGCTGACGACGCTGAGAGCCGCCAAAAGCCAAAAGCAAGTCAAAACCAAGCCTGGAAACGACCTGTCATGGCATTGTTATGGCCGACCCTTTACTGACCGTTAGCAGCCTGACCTCCCCCGCAGTCCCTGCAACAGGCCTCGACTCGTGCTTCTCGCCTCCTCGCCTCCTCGCCTCCTCGCTGCCCAATGACACCAGCCTCCTGTATCCTGCATGAGCCAATATTCATTTCGAGGTACGGGACTATCAGCAGTACAACTTTCTACTCTTGAACCCAAACCTGGTCCCGATTGGCCCCTTTTGCACCCTTGCCAAACCTGCTTCGCCATTGTTGGTATCCTGTGTCTCATCACTTTTCCATTCGCCGAAAGCCTGTTTTCAGCATGTCGGCGTCTATTCGGTGGATTCCCTCCATTCCCTCCCCCCCACCAGCTCGCCACCGTATTCGTAGTGCCAGTGTGCAACGTCATAGTTGAAATACGCCTCAAATTACGTCGACAACCACAACTAACTCAATTCACGTATCCAAGCCTCCTAATAAATAATCCGCCGGGCTCAAGTCCACTGACACGACCTGAATCTGTCCGCGCCGACTCCGCGCGCCCCGGCTCCAACGCTAGGTAGCCCGGCCACTTACCATCCTCCGTACCCGCTAATTTTTGGAGACATGCCAGCAAGAAAAAGTGAAAATGTTCTCCTGGATGCTTGACACGACCGCATCCATCAACGCCGCAGCTTTCCGGGCGCCACCACAATGAAGCCTGCGCTTCTCAACGCGGTCCGGCTGGCCAGCAGGACCACCCTTCCTCTACAGTCTGTGCTGCAACCTCTAATACACCCCTGCATTGGCGCTCGCTTCGCTTCTCTGCGCCGCGATGCCCGCCCCTCGCGCATGGTCCTGTCCGACCATGTCCACCGATCACCACCCTCCCAGCAGGATGCCAGACGTAAACGCCACGTCCCAGGCCCTTTCGGCGGCATGAACAAGCGCGTCGCCAACATTGACCCCCGGCGACTGCCCCGCGCCCCGGCCGACAAGCGCAGCGACACCCGCAAGCCCGTCGACGACCGCAAGGCCCTCAAGATGCACCGCGCCCTCGCCTCCATCTCCTACGGCCGCCGCACCGACATGAAGGGCCGCATGGCCGACTACGAGTCCTTTTCCCAGTTCCGCCTGCTGCCCGCCGTGCAGACCGCCATTGACGAGGAGCTTTTCAAGGGCATGACGGATATTCGGCCGACCCCGGTCCAGCGCCTGGCCATCCCCGCTCTCCTGGGCCAGTCCTCGACCGGCTTCATAGAAAAGACGCCGCAGACAAAGACCCCAACGAGTATCGCGCCCGGTAAGGTGCCATCGTTTCTGCTTGCTGCGGAGACGGGCTCAGGCAAGACGCTGGCGTACATGCTGCCCGCCATCAACGCCCTCAAGCAGGCCGAGGCCAACGACCCGGACATTGCCGCATTTAATGAAAGATTTACCGCCGAAAAGAAGCGCCAGGAGGAGAGCAACGGAAGATGGAAGCCGTTGGACGAGCCGCATCCCACCATGGCGCGACCCAAGGTCGTTATCCTGGTCCCTACAGCAGAGCTTTGCCAGCAGGTGATGCGCGTCTCCAAGACCATCTCCCATGCTGTCAAGTTCAAGACCGAGATGCTCTCCTCCGACCTCAAGCCCCAGCAGATCCAGCGCAACGTATACTCGCCCAAGGGTGTCGATGTCATCGTCGCCACGCCGCACCTGCTCGCCGCCATGGCCGACTCCGATCCCAACATTCTCTCCCGCGTCTCCCACCTCATCATCGACGAGGCTGACTCGCTCTTTGACCGGAGCTTTGCGCCCGTCACGATGAGCATCGTGGAGCGCGCCACCCCGTCCCTGAAGCAACTCATCTGCTGCTCTGCCACCATCCCCAAGAAGCTCAACAACTACCTAGCCGTCAACTACCCCGACATGAAGCGCATCGTCACACCCAACCTGCACGCCATTCCCCGCCGCGTGCAGCTCGGCGTCATTGACGTCTCCCGCGACCCGTACCGAAACAACAAGGATCTCGCCTGCGCCGAGTCCATATTTAGCATCGGCCGCGAATCGGCGCAGCACGAAGGCCCCATCAAGGACGAGGTTGATGTCCGTCGCATCATGGTGTTTGTCAACGAGCGCGAAAAGACCGAGGAGCTGGCCGACTACCTCCGCTCCAAGGGCATCGATGCCCAAGCCCTGCACCGTGACACGCCGGAGAAGCGACACGGCGAGATTTTGGAAGTGTTTACCAACGCCAACCCTCTCCGTGTGGCGCGGCCGGATAGCAAAGTGGCCCGTAGTTGGCTCTCTAGCATCAAGGTCTTGGTCGTGACGGATCTCGCCTCTCGAGGCATCGATACTGTCGCTGTGCGTCACGTCATTCTTTATGACGTGCCGCATACGACAATTGACTTTATCCACCGCCTGGGTCGCGCTGGGCGCATGAACCGTCGTGGACGCGGCATCGTGCTTGTAGGCAACGATGATCGTCGCGACGTCGTTGCCGATGTCAAGAGAAGCATGTTTATGGGCCAAGCTTTGATTTAAGCGACCTTGTAGAATGATTTTGTATACTACATTTGTATAAGTACTTAGACAGAATTCGCATTGGAGGCGTTTGGAAGCAGGGTCGAATCTCATATGGCTGCAATATTCTAGCCATTTTCATACAAACTATACTGTAAAAAATAACAATTACACCTATTCAGATGCCTAAAAACCTGGTCACACCAAGCGACATCAGAGAATCCGGCCAAATCAACTTTTTAGTGGGTCGGTCTTCCCCACACGCGTCGCGACGCGCCTTATCGTGAACGCCTAACAAACTCACCAACTATCAATTCTCACAACAGTGCAACCAACACAGCGGAGGACACCTGCCACTCTCAGACCCTATAATCTGTCTCATATTACTCGAAATTTTCAACCTCATTCCTTGACACATACAGATAGTCTCTTTCGAAATGGCTCGCACGCGGAGATCGCGTCAAGCCGCCGCCGCGCCCGCCGCCAGCGTGCCCGACAGTGACACTGAACAACAGCAAGCCGCTCCATCTCGCGGCCGCACACGGACCAGCCGCGCGGCCGCGCCACCGCAGCGACAAGCCTCCGTCGACCACACTCCCTCTGCCGGCTCTTTTCGGGCCCCGGCCTCTTCCGTCCGCCACACCAGCGTCGACTCGGTCGAGATTGGCCGGCGCGCTGCCGGCGTTTTGGAGACGCCTTCACTACGCCGCGACACGACCGGGCTGGACATGAACGATAGCATCTTTGGCGACCTGGGTGACAGCTTCGCCGACGGGGAGGTTTCCGGGGCAGAGCCGCGCTCGGCGTCGACGACGCGGTCGTGGAGCACGTTCAAGCCGCGCTCGCGCGCGTCGAGCGTCGTGGGCCGCACCGACGCCCCAATCCGACCGAGCAGCCGTGGCGGCGGCGCCCACAACAGCAACACGTCGGTGCTGACGTCGTCGTTCAATATTGGCGCGTTTCGCCGGCGCGCCAGGGAGCCCAGTATCCTTGGTACGACGCGCCGGGCAGCCGCCGTGACCACCGCCACCACTACCACGGGCCCCCGCTCGGAAACGTCGGGCCGCGGTGCGCAGTCGGATCTGGAAAGTGAAGGCGAGGGCGGGGAGGGGTTTGCGCCAGACGCAGAGTCAACACCGCTACATGTTGGGCGCCGCACGCGGGCTAGCCTGGCGGCGTCGAGTCGGAGCAGAGACGTCTCGGCGAATGTGAGCGCGGCTCGGACGACGAGGAAGCGCAAGAGCGAAGCGGCGGAGGAAGAAGAAGAAGAGGGGCGGGCGGCCAAGACGACGAGGACGGAGGAGCAGACGGACAGTGACTCGGAGATGTCGGAGCTCAGCTCGCCGCCGCTGCCGCCGTCGACGCCACTCCGCCAGAGGGCGATGACGCCCGTCAACTTGGACGAGATCAACGCGCCGCCGGCCAGCAGCGGGTCCGAAGACGAGGGCGATGTGTGGCCGGATATCCACGCTCTGGCAAAGCGTCGTCGGCGCCTTTCGGTGACTACGCCGCTGCGGGCTGCTGGCGGCGGCGAGGACAACGCGATTCTGTCCGACGTGTCGTCGCCGCCGTCACTGACGCACTCGCCTAACTACGACCGCGGCCGTGCTCCGCTGCGCGCGCACCAGCCAAAGCCCCTAACGACAGCAGATCTGGCCAACCTGCTTCCCAAGAGAAGGTACAACAAGAGGCGCCAGGATGCCGGCAGCGACGAGGAGGGGCGAGAAGAGGACGACGAGGACGACGAACAAGAAGAAGCGGAGGAGGAAGAGGTGCCGGTGACGCGCACACGCGGCGGCCGCATCGTTCGGCCACCCAGCCGCGGTGCCTCCGCGACCGGCCACACACCAGCCCGGGGCACGCGCAGCGCGTCCCAAAAACACAAGACGTACGGCCGTCGCTCCTCGGACAAGGAGAACCAGGATGACGACGAGGTCGAGGACGACGAGGACAACAGCCACTTCCAGCCGCTCGCCGACGACACGTTTGCGGACACGACGGCGACCGCCGCGCTGCCCGACTTCCAGTCCATGGACGAGTTGAGGCGCGCTACGACCAAGTTTAGCGAGGTGGACAAGTGGCAGCTGGACTACGAGGAGGTGACGGCGAGCCTCTCACCGCAGGGCGCGCGGTAATGGCCAATGGATCTGCTGTTTCTATATAATTTTCCACGCGCCGGTCTACTTAAAAAGGGATGGATTTGTTGAAAAAATGATCTTTATTGTGTTTGCTGGGAGTTGTGTGGAAAGCTTTGGCTTGGACAGGACCAAGGCTGGAGTAACGGTACGAATACCTGTTTATTTTGCTATTAGCGATTGCGCATTGGAGAAATATACTACGCTTCGAGTGTCCCGTGTGTTTTTATCCTTTAATACCATTTTACTGGGTTTTTTTTTTCCTTTACCCGCGTTTCATCACCCTGGCTACCCGTGTCGGATCGTTACAAAGGCGGGTACAACAGATCTGTATTCCACTCACACTTCCCACACCACCGTTTTGCTTCCTTCACCAACGCGGCCCCCCCAAACAAACGTCCAATCACTTTCCTTCAAGCCAAGGCGTTTGTGCGCGGCTTGTACGCCGTTGTACGCACAGGTTTCGTTCTTCTTCCTACTACAAAATACAAAAACAAAAGCTCGTCCACTGTCTCTGAGCATCCTACTAGTGAGTGAGTTCTGCCTTAACCCTCACTCGTCTGTCTACCTGCTTCTGCGTGAATCCATGCACCAAGCAAACTAAAGAAACAGGTTCTCAACGCCGCGGGCCCAGCCGAGCCTCTCTACACACTCTTTCCTCTTCTTATCATCACTCTTTTTTCTTCTTCTTCATCGCACTTCTTCCAGAACGACGTACATCATGGCGCCCATGACCAAAACCTCGGGCCTCTCGCCGCTGCTCCCCGTGCCGTGGGCAGGCGTCCGCGCCTGGCTCGACGAGGCCGAGGCCACCTCGGCCGCGTCGGGCGGCAGCACCGCGCACCTCGCCCACGCCCAGCTGCTCGCCCTCTCCCAGCTCGTCACCTTTGGCGTCGACGAGCCGGTGCTGCCCAAGGAGGACTACGTCAGCAAGCTCATGCGTATGTCGTCGTCGCCGGTCCCCGAGGACGACCACCCGATGCAGGATGGCGTCGACGCCGTCCGTTTCGCTAACGGGCCAGAATTCACCCAGGTGCACCGCTTCGGGCCCCCGACCTTTGAGATGAGCGACCCGGTCGACGTGCCGTTTCGCGGCGCGTTCCAGCTGCGTTGGGGCTGCCAGTGCGTGCTGCCGTGGTGCGGCAAGCGCTTTCCCAGCGGCGACGAGGCGCGGCCGCCGGTGTTGTTTGGGAACAAAAAGGTATGGTTCGCATTTTCCCTTGACACTCCTTCTCTTGGAAGACCGTGGGGAACGGTAGTGCTGATTATTCCTGACTTGATGAGCAGGATGCCAAACAGTATGCCGCCATGCTCGCCGTGGAGTATCTCAAGGGCGCAACAAGGCAAATGGCGACATCGCACACGCCTCGCGAGACGCCCGAGAAGCTGGGACTTTCAGAAAATAGCTCCCAGAATGCTCCTCAGCAGCCGCAGCCCCCTGCACCATCGCACACGGCGCCCACACAACCGCTTGCTCTGCCCCAGCCAGCGCAGCCGCCTGCGCAGCCCGCCACGCCCCTGACCCCCCAGAGCCCCCTCGCCCCCCTCGTGCTCACCGCGCCCGGCACCCCTCCTCCGTCGACACGTGCCAAGCGGCCCCTTGACTCGCCCACCACGCCCGGCCCGGCCTCACCCCTCAAGCAGCGTCATCAGCGCCACTCACCCACGCCGCCGCCGCCCGCCACCGCCGCGATGCCCTTTGTCTCGCCCAAGGGCCGCGGCGCCGACGCCGCGGCGGAGCAGAGCCGGCTCTTTGGCAGCATCGCGCGGCTCTGCGCGCGCCTCGGCGTGTCGCAGCCGCAGTACCGCCTGGTCCCGGACCTGGACCGGCCGAGCTTCTTTAGCGGCCGCGCCGAGTTCTCGGTCGGGTCCCGCGTGCCCGATGACATTGCCGTCGTCCGCAACGTCCTGGGTAAGAAGCAGGCGCGCATCCAGATTGCGGAGCAGGTCCTGGCGTGGATGGAGAAGGAGGAGATGCGCCGGCAGCAGCTGGTGGATGGCATGCTGTCTTGAGTGTCTTTGTAACTGGTAGACTTTTTGGATCTTTTTTTTGGATTCTGTGGTGTGCATGTGGAGTTCCTTCATGTGTGATGGATAATATTATGACTAAATGAATCTTTATTGTTGTTTTAAACGGTCTTGTTGCGCTGTGCTGTCGTGCTGTCCACGTGTTGATGCCATGACGGAAGAGGAACATTACCTGACTGTTATTCCTCGAGTATATTGAAGTTGTGATTTCGCTGTATATATGCCTGTCGACGCCGCGACGAATGATCCCTGCTCCTGCCACATGATCATGGAAACCGCATCATTGCTCCTGTCCACCTCTACCGCTCTCCGCTCTCCCGCCTCCTCCCCTCCCCCTCCCCCCGCGGCCTCTGCCTCCTCCACCGCCTCCTCTGGGGCCCTTGCCGGTGGGCACCGTCCTTTTCACGTCCGGCGGCAGCTGGGCCACCGCTACGCCATTCTCCCAGAGCACGCCGACACGCGCATCGCGGCCCTGCACGCGGCGAAAGAAGTCGACGGCGAGCAGCCCGTCAGCGTCGCCCTCGGTCAGGATGACGCCGTTGTCGCTGCGCCACCACGAGATGCCCGCCTCCATGCTGCGCGCCACGTCAATCTCAATCAGCAGCTGGGCGTCGCGGCGCATGCCGCTCACGACGCCCTCGTCGGGCGTGCCGGCCGCGCAGTGGATGTGGTTGCGGCCCATGACGCTGAGCCCGCCCGCCTCGATGATGGGCTCCCAAAAGGCGTAGTAGGTGCCGTGGACGACGCGCGCGGGCACGTTGCCGGCGGCGAGCGTCAGGGGCTCCAGCAGCGACGAGGATTCGAGCTTGATCGAGTGGCCCTGGTTGGCGCGGATCAGGTATTCGCTGGGGCTGCTGCTGGAGGGGGATGGTGACGATGGCTTGGGTTTTAGGGAGAAGCGCTGCTTTTCGTTGGTGGCGACGACGTCTTGCACGTCGGCGAGCGTGACGCCGAGGGACTTGAGAGGGCCCCATTGCAGCTGTTGCGCGTTAGTGGATTTTCTTTAAATGTCGAAATGGCAAGGTCGGCAATGTGCGTACCACTTGATCAAGAGGCGCATATCCCTCGCCGTCGAGCGCAATACCGGCATTCTCGGCCTGGTGCCTCAGCAGTCGTGACAGCGCACGCGAGACGTCGCTGGAGCGGCCACCACTGCGTCCGCCACGGCTTTTCCGTGCGCCTCCTCCCCTTTTGCCTTCCTGGTTCTCGACCTTGTTCATGATTTGATCTTGGATATCCATCGTGGCGCCACTAGCTGCCTGCTCGTTGGCTATGCGGCTGTCGAGATGACGGGCCTGGCAGACGCTCGTGTGTATGTGCTGTGGTGCGGCACGGGGAGCGGGCCGGCTACGTATTGCGTATCGAGTGTAGCTTTTTGAAATGAGGTGACTTCCTCTTAAGACGGCGGTTCGTGGGAGATACGTATTCATTGAGAGATTTGTGGTGAGAGGTAGGTTGAGTCAAAGGTCCAGTTATTGGGTGAAACTACCCGCGCTGAAAAAATTAGTCAGGCCGTCGGAGGCCTGGTGTAAATGCAGTGATGGCTGAGGCACGGGAGGTGGCCGGTAATCGCGAAAATAAATACCCCTATTTTCGATATATCTTTTATTTTTATTTACAAAAAAAGCGAATGCAACTTGAATGTGTATTCCCAATACCTGGCCATGACTTTGTTGGAAGACAGCACTAAGTACTCTAGGCCAAGTGCTGGTATGTATGTGGCACATGGCCGCGCCACCGCGATGCCACAGAACACAGCCACAACAGCAAACGTTTCTGGATTATTTCCTTTCATCTACCCGAGTAGTGCTTCTCTTGCAACCTCAACATCCTCCGTAGTCCCGCATATCACACCTTCTCTCTCGTCACAGCTTTCCAACGGTCGAGCCAGCATGTTTTTTCCGTCCGACGCACTGATAGAAGCGCCACCAGCGCACTCGACAACCAAAGAAATAGGATACAGCTCGTACAGGCGCCGCAGCTTGGCTCGGCTCTCCAGCGTGACCGGCGACACGTAAACTCCATGACCCTTGACGAGCGCATGCACGATGTCGGGTACCAGACCACCGCTATAGCGCAGGGTATACTTTGACTGGATGAAGTGAGTAACGAGCCGCAGATACTTGTCGCTCTCAGCCGCCGCGCGCAGGTTGGCGGGAGCGAAGTAGCGCGTCTTGTACGGCGCGGCGCTGAACAGGACGCGAGGCCGCAAGACTTCGTAGCCTTGCGCGCCTGCGTCGCCGATGCCGATTTCGACGCAAGTCGGCTCGGCTCCGGGAACGCGAAGGGCGATGAAGGCCGTCGTGCGCGGCCCGTAGACACCGATCACGGCAGCGATTTGCTTGGCCGAGGGGTCCTGCCCGAGCGCAGAGTTGCCGTCCCAGATTCCAATAATGGTGCCGACGGCCCAGTTGGGCGCAATGATGGAGCTGCCGTCAAGAGGGTCAAAGGCCACGGTGTACTGCTCATCGAGAGGAGTCTTCTGAGCTGGGTTCGAGCCATGATGAACGGGCCGTTCCACAGGATCCTCTTCGCTGCTTGCAGTAGTGACGGAATCGCATTTGGCCAGTGCGGCTCGAACGAGGCTCTCGGAGGATATATCGACGTTGAGCTGGTCGTCTCCGAAAACGTTCTCCGTGCCAGCAAGAGTCACATGCTGCGACCGACGCAGTGTCTTGGCTATGTCGGCGACACAGTCGATGAGGGCTGGCAGCACGGAGTGACAGAGCTCTTTACGGCCATATGGCAGCAGTAGACTTTCAAGATGAGTAGCCATGGCGCTTCTGAGTCCTAATTTAGACCTTGTTGGCTCGGTCTGATGCTGCGTAAATATTTCAGACGGGACGAGCGGGGGTGTGCGAAGCACGGTGCAACTTCTCAATAGCGTCTTTATTGGAGGCTGAGAGCACGTAAATTCCGGTGACACACCGCTGAGCTGGTTAATCAGTATTATTGGTGAACACAAGGTCCCGAGAAGGATAGGTCGAGAGTAGACCGCGATGGCCATATATCTTCTTGAGCACTTTCTGATAACTAATGCTTACCCCACTCCGTCGGGAAGTTCTAAATTATATTAAGCGGAGAGATTGTGGGGATATAGTTTCCAGGCAGGCGCAGTGCTGCGGGCGGTACCAGTAGAGCGGTCAAGACATTTCTCAGCGATCACCATCTATGGCAGCGCAGAGTCCCTTCTCCAGAACGTTGTCGTCATGGAAGAAATAACTACTTGAGTGATGATTCCTACAGCTCTGTCTTCTTTGGCATGTCAAGCTGGGGCTGACACAGTCCAGGCAGCGGATGAGCAAGATGTGGTCAGCCAACACACCTCAGCGCACACGATGATGTACGTCTCAAGGACAGTCTTTGGGAAGACGCCCGGCAAATGCGGCCGCTGAAACCCCCGCTGTGAATCCAGTTGCGGAGCTACATGGCGTTGTTCGTGGGTGAGGGACTTTCACCGGCCTACCATGGTCTTTGTACGACACTGGCTTTGGGTTGTGCGGCGTTCGATGCAACCTAAATACCGCTCAGCTTCGACAAGATGGCTCCTCTTGACACTCTCTCTCCCCAAACACCCGCAGCACTCCGGTAGCGAAAATTCCAACGCAACCAAACAGTCAGCATCATGTCTGACCAAGATGCCACGACCCCGCGAGTCTTTCTAGCTCGCCACGGTCCGTTGCCCAGCCGCGGTACTCGCATCCTGCTTGCTGACTGACACACCTTCTTTTTCAAAGGGGAAACCGAGTGGACCATCAACGGCCGCTACACGGGCGTCACCGAGCTCGACCTGACCCCGCGCGGTGTCGGCCAAGTCCGGGCGTCGGGCGCGCAGCTGGTCGGCCCCGGACGGCTGCTCGACCCGGCCAGCATCGTCCGCATCTTTGTCAGCCCGCGCAAGCGCGCGCAGACGACCCTCGGGCTGCTTTTCGGCGACGGCGAGGCGTCGCAAGTCGACGCGTCCAAAGTCGTCACCACCGACGAGATTGCGGAGTGGGACTATGGCGACTACGAGGGCCTGCTCACAAAGGAAATTCGGGAGCTGCGCGCCAACAAGGGACTTGATACCGCTCAGCCGTGGGATATCTGGCGCGACGGCTGCGAGGGGGGAGAGTGAGAGAACTTCTACTGCCCAAGCAAAAAAGAAAGGCTATGTGCCGTCTAGGAAATAACTAATCGATTGAGCAGGACAGCGCAGCAGGTCACGGCGCGTCTGGATGCCTTGATACAAAAGATTTACGACATTCAGCGCGACAACATGCATGGAGAGCACCCAGCAGATGTTGTTCTGGTATGACGACTCTGGCACCTTCCTGTATCCAGCTAACTAACTCCTTGTCCAAAGGTCGCCCATGGCCATATTCTGCGCGCCTTTGTCAAGAGGTGGCTTTTGTATCCAATGGAGTCGCCATTGCCACTGATGATGTCGCCGGGCGCTATTGGAGTTCTGAGGTTCGTTGAGCACTAAATCCGTAAAATTGCCGTTTGGCCTGCTAACAACAAATCATCGCCGGTACTTGCAGCTACGATAATCACAGCATTCAGGAACCCGCCATCATGGTTGGACTGTCAATGCCATCCAGCACTTAGATGGCTGTTTTTTTCCGCCTCTTCATTTCCCAAGGTGCAATTCGGAAAGCAATAGTATCAAAGAAAACGGTCAGCGTGCCCTGCTAGACTTTGTCGTGGTCGTTGGCCTAGATAGGATGGGTTTCTTGCGACGACGACGACCCTGCTCTAGGGTCTCAAGAATGATGGCGCGGCGCAACTGCAACGGCAGGCTGAGCAGGCTGAGCAGGCTGAGCAGGCTGGTGGTTTCCATTGCTATCCGTTCATTGACGCCGCAAAGCGATCAGTTGGTTGAGAGAAAACAAGACGGCACACGGTCGGGGGTAGGTTCTAGGCCGTGGCTAGCTACAACTACAACCTTGACCAATTTTTGTAGTGAAGAGTTAATTTACGACGCACAAAGAAAACGAAATAATGCTGAACAAAAAATGAAGTTTGTAGTATATCATCGAATATTCACGAATAATGAACGACAGAAAAGTAACTCGATGAGCAGAAGTTTAGCCCATTCTCCACTGAACACTTGAAGGTCCTGGTATCCAATCAGACACCCCTTTTTCAGAACACTCTGCAAAGCGTCATGAAGCCCTTTGATCTCTGCTCCAATCTTCTCAAGGTCGCCTATTGATGTCCTCCCTCTTTGCCGCCAGCGCTGGATAATCCACATCCTCGTCGCCCTTCCCTTTCCACCACTGCCAGCAATCCCAAAATATCAGCGCATTCAAAAGGATTCTCCGAGATTTCCTGCAGCGCACACGTCAGCACAGCGCCTAGGATCTCCTCGATGAGCTTCTAGTTCTTCCGATTCGCCTCCTGCTGGCCCTTTCGCTTGACCGACTTCATGGACGCGACGCCCTGGCTGAGCAAAAATACGGGCAGGCTCATCGGCGTCGGACAACTTAGGCTGCGCCAGCTGACGCGTGAGCACGTGACTAGTTAGTGGGTCCAGCGCGATAGATCATCTAATCCAAGTCGCCAAACGTTGGGCTGTTGTTTTCCTTCAACCTTTTGTTTTCCTTCAACTTTTTCTTCAACTTCGCCTCAACGATGGGCCCTTCTCAACTTGCCAATGCTCATTCCCAAATAGGGTGTGGAAACAATTCCGACATGGCTAACCAGCCGTCAAAGAGTCGTGTGAACAAGGCCAATCGGAACACCGTGGCGGCCAGGTTTAACAGGAAGATTATGCATAGCCTGGAGAAAAGTCTGTTCAACGACCCGGAAGCCGATATCACAATCGGGATGTCGAAATATTCGCAGCAGCTGCAGTCGTTCAAGAATCATGGTAAGCCATTATTTATTCAATACAACTGCAGAATCTAATGGCTGCGCATGTAGTCACCACGAATAGCCAAGCCGCACGGTCGCTGCCCAACAACGATATCCGCCGTCGACTGAACGAGGATGAACCAGTGACGACCATCTTCCCACTCTCCTCTGAAGTAGAAGATTTGTGTCGTGACTACCAGAGCACGGCAGAAGCTTTAATTGGTCTTCTAGGCAGTGGCGAGGTTCTATATGAATGTGCGTGGGCTGCCTCGGTCATGGTCTTTCGAATCAGCGAAAACATGGTCGTCAAAGCAGGCCACGAGAGCTTTGCAATAACAGAGCACCAAACTCTGGCATTTCTGGAAAAGCACATGCCCGACTTCCCAGCCCCGAGGCCACATGGTTTAGTTCGCCTAGGCATTCATTGCTTTCTATTCACCAGCCACATTCCGGGCATGAACTTGGAGAAGGCGTGGCCTGGACTGGACTGTTCTCAGAAACAGGACATTTCTTGTCAGGTAGACACCCTCCTTGCTAAGCTACGGTCTCTTCCTTTTCCAGAAAACGCAAGCCTCGGCGACGTCGTTGGCGATACTTGCAGAGATGTGCGGCGATCACAGCGTGTCAGCAACAAGCCGATTATGAGTGTCACAGAGTTCCAAGATTTCATCTTCGATGGCCCCAGCACAACCTCGCCGCTATATGTTCAACTCTTGCGCAATCTTATGCCGTCATCGGCAAAGATTGTCTTTACGCATGGTGATATCCGCCCCGCGAACATTATGGTCAGATGTGATGACGAGAAATGGAGGGTTACAGCAATTATAGATTGGGAGACCAGCGGGTTCTATCCTGAGTATTGGGAAGCCGTGAAGGCGACAAACATGCTAATGCCTAGAGACCATTTTGACTGGTACAAGTACATACCACAATCAATCTCACCGAACCAATATTCTGTCCCGTGGTTGGTGGACAGACTATGGGATCGGAGTACGACCAATGGTTAACTAGAAGAAAAAAAAAACTATACTCGCTATATAGTCGCTGCGTTGTCGCGAACATGGAAGTTACAGCCTTGAACTGTTGCGGGAGACTGCAACCTAGCGCAGCCCGTGGAGGAGCGCACGCATATACATTGTGACTTCATTCTTCTTCCTGTTTTCAGTTCAGTCTCGGGGGTTTTCTTGTCATAGAAAATGGTACATTACATTGTCAGCAGCCCAATGGAAACTTGCCCGTATATGCGGGCGGTCAGGCTGTAGCTGTAGCATGTGTTTTCCTAGCAATATATGTGTGCCCTTCTACTGCCACGTGCGATGCTTAATAAATTAAATAATGCGCAGATGCTGACTTTTTGAGCTCTGGTTGTGACTCAGTCACACGGTAGTTCCATCGGGACAGGTGGATACAGTGTGTTGGTTGCGGGCGAGGGTTGAAGGTACCTACGGGCAGGGCCAGAGGACGAGCAAATGAGTCACCGATTTTTGCACGAGGTAATACATACTACCTAGGTACCTAGCTAGATGGCTCACAGCCAGAGGCCGTTAAAAAAAAGAGGCACCCACTCATAGCCTCTGACTGGCTGATCTGACCCCTGGTCAAGCAAGCCGAGAGCTTGTTGTCAAATTACCAGCCCTCAAGGTTGTAGATCCGGGGATCAAAGGTTCTGTGGATACAATGATGGGCAGCCAGATATCGTATTCCAGTAGATCCGCATCTTGGTGGGCGGAAAAGTGGTCACTGAAAGTGTTGGCACAATCCTGCCCACCACCAAGTCCATCTATGGCCCGTGCAATCCCCCGTTTATGCCACGTCGTTAACCTGCAGACCAGACACACTCACTATTCACAACCTGTCACATCACACAAAATGTGCAAACGTGGTGGGCACGTGGTGGTGCTTTATTTTTGTACATCATCACATTACACGGGTTCCACTCCACAACGGGTGAAAGATTTTAGCGCCTACGGGCCGCCTTGTGGAACTTTAGGTACTTGCCCCGTTCACGGCCTGTGGCTGATCCTCACGGCCGCTAGTAGTAGTTGCGTTCAGTTTGAGGATGCTCAAATACGTGACCGAGATCAGGCAACAGCTGGCGGACGGGGGCCATGCTGTTTATGAACCATCATTGGCCGTTACATCAGCTTCATGAGACGTGGCGCAGTGCGGGGCACCTGCCCAACACCGACGGCTGCAATGAGCACATTCGTTATAAATACCCAGCTGCAACTGCCACCTAAACGTTGATTATTATCATTGAGAAAGGCCTCTTTAATATCCGCACAGTCAATACAGTTGCGGCTGATCACTTTCCACGCCAAATCATCCCAGCCAAACCGCACGGTTCTTATTGACCGCCCGATATGTCCTCTCGTCCCAGCCAACACAAGCATACTAAGGGGAAGTCGCACGAGAAGTCCGAAAAAGAAAGGGACAACGATGAATCCACCAAGAAAACCGTGAAGGACAAGTCTGGCAAAAAGGCCGAATCGTCAAAGAAGAGCGAATCGTCAAAGAAGGGCGAATCGTCAAAGAAGAGCGAATCGTCAAAGAAGAGCGAATCGTCAAAGAAGGGCGAATCGTCAAAGAAGGGCGAATCGTCAAAGAAGAGCGAATCGTCAAAGAAAAGCGAATCGTCAAAGAAGAGCGAATCGTCAAAAGGTGGCAACGACGTAAAGCTCTATTGTGCCATTTACGAGCCGCATTATGGGAACTTCTACCACTGGGCCTTCGCTATGAGACACAAGGCGACGGATCGATAGCATCTCTTCCAGGTCATTCAAGAAGAAGACGACGGCCCCTTTAAACGCAATCAGCGCCAAGTTGATCCCACAAGCTCACAGACTTGCTTAGAACCGCTCACGCTCTTGGGCCAGATGCATGTTGACAACTGGGATTGGCTCATCGAAGCAGTTCGAGAACTCCCAGTAAGAGGAGAGGCTGCATCGTGGAACTGTCAAGATTATGTTCTTGGGATATGGGAAATGCTGTTGGAAGCAGGAGTAATAGAACACGACGTCTGGAGCAACGGTTACGACCTAATGCTCCCATACTTCGGTCAAGATTTTGGCGGCCAAGGAGGACATGAAGAGTATGAAGAACAGGAAGGCGAGGAAGAAGAAGGTAATGGAGGAAAGAGGTTCAAGTCTCAAGAGTTTGTGTATGACTCGGATGCATGATATTGGAAAAGAAAGCGAAGCTATTTTATCCCAAGACATACTACTAAGCCAATCGCTAGGACAGAACTAGTTAGTCAGTCAGGCCATGGAAAAATGGAAAGGCAACTAAGGGGGGCAGCAACCAGGGAGAGAAAATAACCCGCCGGTTAGGAATTACTATTTCTTGACTTCTTTCTCTTTCTAAATTTTTTTATTTGTTATTATCTACCTTATCTTGCTTATTTTACTCATATTTCTTGTCTTGCTTATACTTATGCTAATTCCCCTTATTCCTTTTCCTAGCTTTAATAGAGTATAGATTATGTATAAAGCCCTTTTTTTATCACCTGCATGGGCAGTAAACTGGGAGAATGAAAAGACGAGACAAGTTAAAAAGAAAGATGATAAGAATAGATACACCGAAGAGCAAAAAAGATTTATACCCCGACAGAGACAGGATTCGAACCTGCGCACGCGAACGTATTGCATATGAGATTCTGATGGGTTGGACCCACCGTTCTTTCGAGTGCAACCCCTTAACCACTCGGGCACTCTGCCTTCTTGGATGACAAGCGGAGCCTAATACAAGTATAAGAGCACTGCAGAAGAGTTGGGATGGATTCCAACTCACAGTGTTGGGAGCATCTAACAGCATGGCATGGCATCGCAGACCTTCAAAAACGAAGTGCGTAGTAAAAAAACAGCACTGATGACTCGCACAGGCCCCGTGTTGAAAATCTTACTACAGCACTGTAGTTCTTATTATTTGCAGTTCCAATAATCACACTATACGAACAAACGCAATAACATCATTTGCCACGCCGCAACTACACAGCTCGGCCATCCCCTCCCCTCATGAACATCACTTCACGGGACGCTTAATGTTGAGAAACCAGAATGGCCCAAATGTCAAAAGGGAATATCATTCATATAACATGTCAAAAATATCTATGACCTTTACGCCCAAATTCCATATGCGGACCAACCCAGTACCTCTGTAGAGACCAAGTTTCATTTTTTTTTAAACTTTTGCATTTTGTTGAATGCTTTTCGACCCATTACCATCTTCCCGATGAACCTTTTTTTTTTCAATTCATCAAAAGCCTCGGCAAACAGATTTACTCTTCATCCTCGTCCTCCTCATCAGCCTCGGCGGTGGTCTGGGCGATACGATCCAAATCACGCTGGCCGGCCTGGGTGATGCGGCGGCCGCCCTTGTCCTCGTCCTGCTCAAGGACGCCAATCTTCTCGAGGGCCTGCATGACCTTGCGGTCGACGGAACCGGAGGCGTCAACGTGCTTGGAGGGGCGCGAGCCACGGTTCTTGGCAGTGCCGTGGACCTTGCGGAGGCGGCCGACACCGACCGTCTTGCGGAGGTAGACGTGGCGGGCGACCGAGGCGGCGCGGACGTAGAACCAGTCAATGTCCTGGGGAGGCAGCTCCTTGGAGGGGCCGGTCTTGACGGTGTCGACCCAACCTGTGGCGGCTCACGTTAGTGCGATTGTGCTTTGTGGATTATGATTGCGGGGGCAAGAAACGTACCGGGGATGGGCAGCTTGCCCTGACGCTTCAAGAAAGCAGCATAGGAGTTGATGAACTTTTGCGCCTGAACGAAAAAAAGAAGAACCCATTAGCAAATGTTCCGTCGTCAGAAGTCTTTCGACTCCCTCGCGCCTGCTCCTCAAAAGATCCGAAATATTATCGTATATCGTGGTGAACGGCTCCGTGTCTCTGTATTTCAAGTAGATGGGAGTCGGCAGTCCGCTCCAGGACATGGGTCATGACAAGGAGATCGGAGGGCTTGGGCATGCAGCAGAGACGAGCGGCATCGAAGTCGAGACGCAATGAATAGTCGGCGCCAGTATTTCATGGCAGCCTTCTTCCAGGTAGAGCGTCTCCATTTTCAATGGCCATTCTTCTCAAGCGCTTCCATCAACGCCAGCTCTGCCAGTCGCATTCGGGCCAGAGGGATTCGATTGTCCCGGATTTCGATATCGATAATATTTAGGTTCTTGTTTGTTTTATTGTCGGTTCAGGAAGTCGTCGTTCGAGCTTCGAAGCAAGGAGGTGCGGGGTGACACGAGGGAGTCGTCATATCAAATCTGCAAGGCAGTGTGTCCTCGCGCGCAAGTCTTTCAACCGTCGCAAGACACCGACTCGCAAGATTGCTCACAATTATTCAAGGAGTACCTACATCAACGTCGCGAACAGTAACGCCGCCAGCCATTTCGTCGGTGGTTTTGAGGGGTGGGAGGGGGGAGATTGGGTCGGTATGTAGAGGTTGTCGTGGTTGGGGAAAGAGGCACACGGTGATTTCGTGATAGTATGGGAGGCTCTGGAGCACTTTTTCGACGCTAGGGTTTGTGGCCCTAGAGGCCAAGTTCTGTGTCGGTGGAGTCTGAGGAAGCGAATTGATGACTAATCACCGCACGACCTCGTAGTCCTGTAGGACGAGACACGATGTGGGTCCGGACATAACATGGTTTTGGTTTGTTCAACGTAATTAAACAATTTACGACAACGCGGAAAATTATTTGGGCATTAAAACGAGGTTAAAGACTGGTCTTGCGTTGTAAGTATATTCTGATTATGTGCGATTCTAATGCGCTATATTCTACATCCAAGAATAGTGAACCCTCAACCAGCCCGCATTTTCCTTCCTCAGACCGTGGTATAATGATGTGAACGTAAAAAGAACTCTCCGAAATGTCTAACATGAGTCGCTTATAATACTGCAGTATAGTGCAGTATATGAAAGAGTTGTCCTGCGCGTGTAGGTTATGCCCACTTGGCAAGCAGTGCCATGACGAAGGCACCGAAAGCGATGCAGCCAAAGCCAAAGAGCTGAATCTTGAGCGGGGAGCGGCGCATGTGGGGGTTGAACATGAACTCGTGGGCAAGCAGCTCGACAAGACCAGTGTACAGGAGAATACCGGCACTGATCGAATCAAAGATACCGTTGGTGAGCTTCTGGTCGGTGGCGTTGGCGGGCTTGGCACCCATTCCGGCGGCGATGCCGACTGGAGTTGAGATGGCGAAGCCGAAGCACAAAAGGTAGGGAAGCCATTGCTTGTCCTTGGGCCACGGTGCAGTAGCAATGCGGGAGCCCAGACCAAGACCCTCAAACATTTGGTGGAAGACGAGGACGATGAGCAGAACGACAAGTTCGGTGGTAGTGCCGAGAGTCAGACCAACAAATACACTGTGGAAGATGACACCGAATTCGAGCACGAAAATGGCAGTGAGCTGACCAGCAAGGCCAGTCTCGGCCGCCGTGTGAGATTGGACGTGGGCAAGATGATCCTCACCACCAGGCGGGTAGCTAACATCATCAGCGCGACCAGGAACCTTCTTGGGGTCGATGCCAGCAGCCTGTTCCAGATCAGGGCCGTGAGGGCAGTCAGCGGTAGTCTCCTCGATGCCCGGACGCTTCTTAGCAATGTAGTCCATCGAGGGGACTTCGCTATCGTAAGCGGTGGCGTTGTGTTCATCGTCCTTCTGGAAGTTGGTAACGACGAGTTCAAGGAGGAACATGGTCATGACGGTCATGAGAGCAATGGCGAGAGCCCATGGGTACTCGGGAACGCGAGCAGCAACGCATTCGTCGCTGAAGTTGTCAATGGCGGGATCAAGCAAGTGCATGAAGGCCGTGGCAACAATAACACCAGTACCGACATATTTGCAGATAAAGAAGGTGAATTTGGGGACGTGCATCTTGGTCTGACGAGCCAGCAGGACGGGCGCCAAGGCGCCAACGAGAGAGGCAGCCATGATGATGAAGATGGCACCGATGCGGAGACCACGGCGGGTGTCGTCGACAGCTTCGCCGCTGCAGTCCAAAGGGGCGTCGGTATCAGCCATTGTGCTGTAGTGGGAATTTGGTCCCTTTCCTTGTGTATGGCTTTGAGGATGTCGACGTGAAGTAGCGAGGAAATGTCCTCTTTGAGTAGTATAATTTGGCGGGAAGGAATGGCAGCTAATTACAGGGGATGCTACTATTATACCTTATCCAAGACCGAAGGATTCGGGAATGAGTGGAGGGGGGGACAGCGAGACAAGCTGACTGGGGCGGATAAGGCGCGAGCTGCAAAATCTTGCAGGTTGTTCAGCTCAAACACCTTGATGTCCGCAGACGACGACGCTTGAGCAGGGGTCAGTTCCACTCGACCAGATTACTGGGAGAGGTTTGTCTGTGAAAGTGACGCGGCGGAGAGGTGATGTGGTTCGTCCGTAGAGTCTCTGGTGGGAATCCGGCTATTAGATGCCGTACCGACTTGGCGTATCGACTTGGCAAAGCGTTTTGGATATGCAGTGTTCCGTGACATGCAAGATTGGCGATTTTGCCAAGAGCAGGCTGTTACCAGGAGTAGTTGACGCACGCGGGTGAGATCAGGCTCGATATGAGATGAGACACGATACAGCTGGTGAGGTGTATTGTGAGTCAGTATTTTCCAATAGCCAGCAGTTGAGCGTGAAACTATTCAGAGTAGAGTGGGTTGTTGGCTGGAATACCGACAGGGAGAAGGAGATATGAATACGAAAGAAAGAAGTAACTAATATGCCAGGGCCAAAGAAAAAAAATGTAAAATTCAGCGGCGGCGGGTGATGAAAGAAAAGAGAACAAATGATAAGACAATATTACCGTGGGGGCCGAAAGAGACCGAAAGCAGTCGTTGTCTGGTTGTGACGGCACGGCTGGTGCTAGGTGAGAACCTTGATGGCCAACCCAGCTTTTTTCCTTCTCTCCGCTAGTAGGTGAATAAGGAAGGAGAGTTTACGAGTCAGAAAGAGAGAAGTCAGATTTGTCTACGAATTAGAGCAGGCACATATATATATGTTTCTCTTTTCTTATCGCCAGGAGTCAAGCGAAGAGAAACAACGCTGTTGAGCTAGGTTCTCGCTGTTGTCAAAAACCTGGGGGTACCACTGGCGATGATGCGGCGTCCGACTCGCGCAACGCGTCAAGTCAAGGGCCCCCCCGGCTTGCTGAGTCGCTGAGGTATCATCGCCGACTGCCAAGGGCAATGCGAGCAGGGTCCGTGCAGGACGATTGCACGAGTTGCCTGGCGGCCGCCACGTTTTGAAATGGCTTCCGCAACGTGCCCGCACACGCACGTGGAGGGTGATGGTTATTGCGAATCACAAAAGCTGCTCGGCAGCAGTTGCTAAAAAAACGAAGAAAAAAAAAGAAAAAAGATGCAAACAAGGTATGGCACAGGGATTGGCTCCCCGGCGCCACCGCTTCCCACCGCGATCCACTAGTGGCGCACGGAACTAACCACTCACAGCGACGACAAAGGCCAAAACTGGTCCATCCGGGTTCTCACCTGCAAACGCGAGGCTGCCAGAAACGGCCTTCGTTACTAATGTATCACACAGTGTCGGCGTCGCCCGTCGAGGTGCGCCTCTGAGCTGACGCCCATAAAAAGCCTGAACTTCCCTTGCGGCGCTGGCCGAAGATTCTGCAAAGGGATGGAGGGGGTTTTACGGATAAAATAAAGCAAGTTTCGCTAATAGCGGCAAAGTTGGGTGCCCGTTCATTGGTTCATTCTGCGAACTCTCAGCCTTTTGCCGCAATCTAGTTACAATGCCTGGATCAACTCTCTACGGGGTACCAGTACAAGGAAGAAAGGGACATTGCCGCCATTCCATTTCGCTCTATGCGTTCATGTAAGATGTATTTATTATATATGTACATGCAAGGTCTTGTCAGCTCGGCGGGGACAGTCCGGCGACGTCGCCCGCACAAAAGTCGTTAAAGCCTCATCGTCCAACCTGACAATAAAATTCGTCGGATGAGGTCCTGACCGGCCAAGAATTACCAGTCCTATCTTTAGTTTCTCCTTGCGGTGCTTCTTCTTGCGCTGACTGGCGGTTGGGTATGCAAGCCATCCAACGGAAACATGTTCCGAACAAGTGCCCGCCTTTTGCGCGTAGAAACGGATATGCAGCGCATTTATTTTTCGCATTGCCGATGCGCCAAGCATGCAGCCCTAATCATGGCTTTGTTAAGCGATGGTTCCCCGCATGATTCCAGCTTCAAGTCAAGCCTCACACTTTATTTGCTTCATCTCCTCCCGTCAAGAGGAGAATTGGATTTCCAAGCCCAGCGTGCGGAACGGCTTATCCATGTGTCGAAGATCAATGTCACTGCCAAGGCTGAACAGCAGCGACTTCACGCGACCCTCCCACAACAGCCCTATGCGCAGGTTCTGGTCGAAGCGAGCCTTGAGCACCCCCGTGTACTCGTCATGCGCCTGCCACCCTGGTTGATGCTCCGCAGCACCATCAAGTCTCTCGGGCTCTTGGCTTTGCGCCCGTGCCTGCAGCTCCCCCGACGCCGTCGCCGACGACGCCAACGCATTCCTGTTCTCCCCGGCCAGCTCAGCGGTGAGCAGATCTCGTCCCCCGTCTTCCAAGGGCCGGTCTAGGCGCCACTCCATCTTGGCCTGGAAGCTGCGTCCTGCGTGCGGCCGCCGAGTTTCCGGCGGTGGCGATACCGACAACCCGTCTGCTACTAATGATAACGACGGCGGCGGCGACAATGGCCGTGTTGACGGCTTGCGCCACAGCTCCATGCCAATGGACCAGACGCTCTCGTAGCTAAAGATGTTGAAATCCATGCGCGTCGCCAGGGTGCAGTGGCGCCCGGCGACGACGGCGTAACTCGCACCGACGCTGCCCATGAGCGGGTTGAGCGTCAGCGTCGCCGCTAGCGGCGTGCCCTTGTGCGATGGCAGTGTCGCGAAGCGCCCCGCGAGGCTGATGCCGCCCGACTTGTTGAGCGTCCCGTAGTAAATCTCCGCGCCGGTGCTGAAGCGCCCGTAGATGCGTTCCTTTTCGCCATTGGGCGGCGGCGTCGTGGTCGTCGTCTTCGTCGCTGCCGTCATTGTGGGCAGCAGCTGCTCGCCGCCACCGCTGGTTGCCGCATCCGGGGCAGTCGTCGTCTTCGTCGCCATTGGCTCTGCCGCATCGCCGCCAAAGTTATATATGCCTCGCAGACCCAGCAGGCCGCCATCAGACGAGGCGAGCCCCTCGAGCGCATACGTCCCCACGTCGTACTGCGCGAGGCCGAGCGTCGTCCCGCCGTTGCGCAGGTGCTGGCCCGACACGGCGCTAAACTGCACCTGCAGGTGCCGCGAGAGCCGCTTGACCACGAGCGCCTCGAGCTGCGACTGCGGCAGGTATAATCGCCCGTACAGCAGCGATGCGTGCGAGTCGGCGGCTGTCGGGAGCGACGGTAGCACCGTCTGTGGCGCGGCGGCGGCGGAGGTCAGCGGCGTCAGCGGTCGGTAGGAGCGCAAGAGCGTGGGCAGCGCCACCTTTTCCGACTGCGGAGTGAGGAGCACGCGCAGCGGCACCGACGAGAAGAGGTACGAGATGGAGCCGTCGACGACGCCGACGGAGCCGAGCTGGTAGGACGTGGCAAAGTTGGGGCTCGCGAGCGCGGACAGCGTCAGGCGCAGGCCACGCGGTGTCGGAAACTGTAACAAGGCTGTGTTTATCAAGGATCAATTAGCAAGCCGGCCGAAAGGCTCTTTCTTTCGCAATGGCATTGAGCCACGGCGTCCCGGCAGAAAACATACCATCACTGGTGGAATTCAGCGCCGCGTACGAGTTGTCGCGGGACCAGCCCGTGGCCTCGTAAAAGGCGCCGTGGACATAGTCCATAAACTCGCGCATCTCGTCACCCGTCGCGACATGTAGCGGCTCTTATCTCCGAGGGGGGGATGTTTGGGATGACCAAGCTCGTTTCCCGTTTCGGGGCCCGCGGCGTTTGTTCTGGTTCGTTACTCAGCAGGTGCAGCGGAACGGACATTTCGATCCTGTTTACGGAGCGGAGTGGTGATGATGCCCGTCGGCAAAACGTCGGCGTTGGTCAACAAGCAATTGACTCTTGTAATAATGACACAGCAATGGCGGGTAATTGGAATCTAAAAAAAGGGAGAGTGAATGCATTTCTTTCAGGCTATTATGCAATTCAGGCTCTCTAATTTTCTTTCTGCAAGAAATGGACGAGCATGAAAGTACAGCCTACTCAACCGATAGCTTCAAGGCTCCTGGCTTTACAAAGTAATACACCGGCAAATAATCGAGGCTGAGCACGTGCTCATCAGGTATCAGAAAATAAAACTGACTGCAAGTTAATGCTGAAAAAAATACGGATACAAGAGCTCGTCATTCTGCACAAGGCATGATAGGAATCCCTTCCGCCGAGGCTGAGCTCCATAGCTCTGTCCGGTCGGACCACTAAACGAGCCGGAGCCCGGCGCCTATTGGTAATGACCGAAGCTTCGGTGTTAGTCTCCCAACGTATCGATGACAAATGTAACATCGACACACCTCTAGAAACACCTTGTGAGTTTTATTTAAACCCAAATCCAAACGTCGTCATTCTCATCACATCCACCATCCTTTCTGTCCATCCATCGCCCCGTTCGCCTGCCTCTGTCATCATCACCATCCCAATACCACCAGCTACCCTACAAACACTACCCACGCAAAAGCTACACTGACCATGGCCACCATCCCAAGCACCATGAAGGCCCTCGTCGCCGTCCGCGACACCCCCTCCGCCTCCGTCGCCTCCTCCGCCCCCGGCCGCGGCGCCACCATCCAGGACGTGCCGGTGCCAGCCATCGCCGACGACGAGATCCTCGTCAAAGTCAGCGCCGTGGCCCTCAACCCTACCGATTTCAAGCACATTGACCTGCTCTCGCCCGCCGGCGCCGTGATTGGCTGCGACTACGCCGGCGTCGTTGCCCAGGTCGGCAGCGCCGCCACCGGTGCCTGGAAGGTCGGCGACCGCGTCGCCGGCTGGGTCCACGGCGGGCTGTACCCGGACCGCGGCAGCTTCGCGCAGTACCTCAAGGTGGACGCGGACCTCGCGTGGAAGGTGCCCGAGGGCGTGTCGGACCTGGCAGCGTCCACGTACGGCGTGTCGGCCTCGACGGCCGTCCTCGGCCTCAACAAGCACCTGGGCTTGCCCTGGCCCGAGGCCGCCGCTGCGCCGGCCGCCGCGGGCGGCGAGCCCTTCCTGGTGTACGCTGCCTCCACCGGCGCGGGGCTGTTCGCCGTGCGCCTGGCCAAGCTGGCCGGCCGCACCGTCGTGGCGACGGCGTCGCCGCACAACTTTGACCTGGTGCGGCGGTACGGCGCCGACGCCGTCTTCGACTACAAGTCGCCCACCGCCGCCGCCGACATTCGCGCCGCCTACCCCTCCCTGAAGCAGGCCTTTGACGGCATCTCGGAGAACGGCACCACCGAGTTTTGCGCCAGCGTCCTGCAGCCCGGCGGCAGCGTCGTCGTGCTGCTGCAGCCCAAGGCGACCGAGATTGACGGCGTCAAGGTCCAGCACATTCTCGCCTACACACTCTTTGGCAGGGAGTTTCACCTGCTGCCGCCAAAGGGCCCCAAGTTCCCCGCCAACGCCGAGGACCGCGCCGTGCTGGCCCGCTTCTTTGCCCTGCTGCCCAAGATTGTCGGCGAGCTCGAGTCCATCCCGATCAAGGAGCTGGCGGGTGGGCTCGAGGGCCTGGGCGAAGGCCTGACTCTGTTGCGCGAGGGTAAGGTGTCGGGCACTAAACTCGGCTATAAGCTGGAGTAGAAAAGTTGTTGCTTGGGTTATGTCCTTGGCTGGACTGTGATAGCATCAAAGGAATATGAATAGTGTCACCCAATAAAAAAACGTATAATTGATTTTGTGTTTTTAGAAATGTCGGCTGAAACACACAGCAGTTGATGGATGCTGTATAAACTTCTCTAATTCAGGAGCGAGTCCCGCACCTCAGCTGGTACATCACACCGTGAAAAATGACTGCAAAAAATCACGAACCGAGTTTGCCCATGCGCCTCATAAAACCAATCAAGCGTCCTTGAGATTCCACTCCCCCAGCTGACCCTCCCCGACGTAGTCCAAAAAGCCGTCTATTTGTGTCGTGCACTGTACTCGTGCTGACCAACAACGCATTTATTTTCTTCCCCATGTATGGATATCAATTCCCGATCGCCTCTGCTGCTTATTCTGATAAGTTTTGAATCAGAGAGACGTTGTCGCCCTTGAGAAGGATTTGTCCTGCAATCGACTGTTAGCTTCATCCGTAGCTACGCCGGTCCCGGCTCAACCCACCCAGCGGTCTCCTTGACTCCTTGTCGTTGGTCTTGGTAATCTGGCGGACCTCGACGGCGTCGTCGAGAACGAGGTTCATGAACTCATCGAAACCCTGGCAGTCTGATTAGTACGGTTCCTTGCTATTGGATCTGTTGAAACCTACTCGGATCTTGCCCTCGATACGGATGCCGAGCTGTTCATAGAGCCAAACGCTAACGGTAGAGTTCTGGGATAATGTTAGTAAAACTCTTGCAATCTTCCCTTTGCCTCTGCGCCAACGATTTTGCGACTCGCGATTGGATCCCCGCGGCTGCGTCCACCGCCCGATCAACGATCTTTCAGATAGATCAACATGCATTGCTGTCTCAAAATTCGGCCATGGGAGTTTATGCACGACCTAAAAAAAAAGATTGTTGCGTCGTTTCGGCCAGCCACCGCTAGAACCACAATCGGATCGCTCGTATCGCCGGCCCTTGGAGTATTTTGACCCTTGCAGATCGGTCGAACTTACGGTCTGAAGAAGCTTGAAAATCATGTTACTGCAATTATCGAGGTTAGCACACATTCTGCTGCAACAGCTGGCCAGAATGAACGCAGCTCTGCATGCGGGGTGGTTGCGTACATGGGAGGAAGCAAAACGCGGCGTCCGCCGCCACCACGACCCGTCATATTGGGCAAGAGTATGAAATATTCGGCGAGGAAGGTATATTTGGGCTCGCGCGACAGAAATTCGGCGCAATCGGGGGGTATGTAGGGATGGGCGCGTCGATGTTGCTAGGCACGAGATGGGTTATCGCTCGAAGCTCATATCCAAAATTCCAGAATTGGCGGTTTGGCCCACACAGCATCAAGGCCGAAATTTTGGTGGAGATTCATTAATCCGGTCGCCGCTCGCAACACGCAAAATTGCCAAACACGAATGGTATTCCCAGCTCGTCAGGCTTTGATGAAGATTATTCTAGGTGCAATAATTCGAATAAGTATTATCTGTCTTTTGCCTTTTGATACACATATGGCACTTTATCATATTGTTAAGCAAGCACGGCGTGTGGAGCAAGGTACAAGGATGGCGTCACACGATGGTGCATAAACTACTACCCAGGTAGGCAAGTAGGTAGGTAGTGAGTGATCATAGGTGGCTGAAGTCGAAACGTCATTTGAGGAGATATCTGCTTCAAATCCCTACACGTTCTACGTCGATGAGTATAGGCAAAAGAACCATCTCGCGGATGAGAGGCCGCAGATTTTTGTCGAACCGTGGGCACAATCAATTTCCGAGGCTTGGTAAGAGCAAGGCAAATCCCATTCGAGATTGTAGAAAGAGATGGCCTATGATACATCTCCCTTATATATTCAATACGGCGTGTGTAAAGCCAGGGAATGGAAGCATAAAATTGCCATCCCATGCAAAATCAGGTAGCAAAACAAGTCGCTTTTGTTTGCATAACTACCTAGAACAAGGTTGACGCCGGGTGTCCAGGCAGGCTGAGAATAGCTTGGAAGAAGCGGGAGAAATGGCATTTCGGTGCCAAAAATAGTACGCGTCGACAGGGGAGACGCGGTTGGCTGCGGACAAGCTACAATTGTAAGTAATAAGTAATGCCGTTGAAAGAAAAGCCCCAGCTTCCAGTCAGCAGCGTGACTTAATAAAGGCGCGGTATTACTACTTATTACTATTGTGCTTTTCTGGATTATTTCCCAAGGTAATTCTTCGAGAGCTGCAAAGAAATAAATACAGGGCTTGAGAAATTTCTCCGACGACGCCACCATCTGGCATGGCCTGGCGATGCATTCTTGCCACCGTTCTACTTTCCTTGGAGATCAGTCCACCGAGCCGCAAACGCTGTTGAAAAAATCCCTTCCAGGTTGTTGTTTCAGTGGAGATGGCATGGCGAGTAATGCCAATGGTGTGCGCACGTATTGCCCGTCGGCTACCCGGAGGGCAAAGGGAATCAGGCTGCGGCAAAAATCAAAACTGCGATCGGCCGAAGCTGCCCGTGGCCAGCCAGCCTGCCACGTTGTAACTGGTCCCACGCTGAGCCGCACGGAAGAGATTGATGAGAGAGATGAGCAAGGGATGGGAAAGCTAACTAGTATTATTACCTAGGAAATGGAAGACGGGTTCATGCAAGGCACGGGCCAGGGTGTATGTGTGTCGTTGTCACGTATACTGGTACCTAGTTATTCAATTACCCACTGGATGGTTATGCGTGCTGCCAACTGATGTTTGATGTCTTGTTTTTCTAATTTGTAGTGTAATTTCACCATCGCCGGCTCTGTGGGCTGCGCGGATGTCCGCGGGACCGCCCCAGTGAATAAATCGACCGTCAGGCTAGAGTTACTCGGAAGCCGTAGGTCGAGGCCGCGAAGGCGGAATGACCAGGGCGGGACATGATTGACATTGCCATTGACAGTTCCGTCGAAATTCAATAAAGCCCCGTCCGCCACTTCGATGGGCGTATTCCACTTGGCCGCCACATTTGGCTTACACGCGCCTTTCCTCGGGATGCTTTGACGGTTGTGCTACAAACAGCACTCACAAATGACGGAGACAATGTGACTTTCACATGAGTCATCTCATTTATCCTGCAAACATTTTCCTCCTACAACGTTTTGTTGGCACATTTCCATGTTGAAATCGAGACGGTTGCTCCTGGCTGTGGAGTGAGGATAGCAGACCTGTACCAGTACATTGTACATGACACAAACTGTAGTCATTTGCAGGCTCGAATTGCGCTGCTTTTCGGATATATATAGAATGAGCTGATTTAGGTATTCAGAAACGTAAACAATGGGACATGTGCAAAAAGATGCGAGAGCACGCAACGGTGCGCGAGTCCACCAAGCGGGTACAGAGCCGCAGTGGAGCTCAGTTGGCCAAGCCGTGTAAGGGCACAAAAGGGAGAAAAATCGAGAAGCTCCTGGTCAATTGCCAATTTGGGCAATATTATACAAGTGTCTACGCCGTGGCAGTTAGTACTCCGTTCTACTCCGGTCTCCATGCAAGTGTTGGATATACATCGAGTTGCATGTTGTGTTGCGTGCAGGAAAGCGCATTTGTGGTGTGGTTTCAACTAGAAGGCATCTCGAGCACACCGCTACAAACAACTCTGTGGTTGGCTAGCAAGCCAGGTACTTACATACATATGTTAAAAGGACGGGCCGAAGTCGAGCATGTTTACAGCTAAGGCGCACGCAACAAGTCGAGCCAGTTGCCAGGTTTCAGCCCAAGGGTGCGGCCCCGAAGCCAGCCCTCGGCGCGCGATCGAGGTACGGCCGTACCAGGGCAATGGACACCCCCGATCAGCCACTTTTCTTTTTTTTTTCCCAGTTCGTGACCAGAAACTCGACAAGCCACCAAACCCATCGGTAGCATCCGAGACACACAACTCGCACACCTCCCCTGGTGCAGTTAGCCTCGTACAGTAGCCTGCGTGCGCCTTGCCGACGACAAGCTGGCGATCCACCGGCTACATGGTGAGAATGGTAGCAACACTACAAAAGCGGTTGCTGCGCCCGATGTCGGGGGCTTTCTGGGCGGCCGTTTTGTAAGCATGTTTGACGCCATCGTCTGGGGTTGCTGCTGTTGGCGCAAAGCGAGGCGCTCACTATGACGGCCGATGAGTCAAAATGTCACCCATGCCGTGGGGGAGCTCGCAAAGGGCGCGCGGGGATAAACTAGTACGCTAACGTTGGCAGAGCAGTTTTACAAGTTTTGGCGCACATGCGTGAGACGGAATGACCTGCGCTTTGCACGTAATACGGAGTACGGATACCGAGTAGTTACCTACCTAGTTACTGGTGCAGCGGAACGATGGATCTGGACCGGTTCTTGGTAGCCATTTATATGGATCACATGTGGACATTGGCATGACAATGGTTGCTGAAACGGCCGCGTGTAAAATGAATCACACAATTCTCACCGTACCTTGCCATCATGGATAGTTATAGTTACATAACATTTTGTACAAGTGGCGGGCAAAAGCATCACCTGCACGGCACTTGAAGCGGGTTGAGCGGCACGTCGGCCACAACCTGCGAGATGATGCTACCCAAAGCAACGAGAAATAGCAATAAACCGGAAATACGGTAGCATCGGGTAGATCGCTGACAGCTTGTGTGCATGAGCGCGCCCACGGCCAGCAGAAAAGTGAGCAGATCAACATCTCCCTGCAGTAGCAAATGTTACATGCCAACAGGTTTCAATACCAACAACGAATAGCGCCATCCTGCACAAACCATCGTGATGAGAAAAGAAATTTTCAAATAAAGGCCAGAAAAAAAAAGAAAGTAAATAGTAAATAGTCTGCAATGGAGACTCGACAGAGCGGAGATGCTTCGATCCATTTGTTACGACCCTGACCCAAATCGACAAGAACAATTTTTTTTTCCCGGCCGGCGTGTGGTGTGAGCGGGACGGGCGTGGACGTAGTGGAAAATCAGGTACTTGAACGAAATCCGCCAAACACGACAAAGTGTGATGCTCTGTAAATACAGGTGCTCAGGCCCTGAAGATGGTCCTGGAATGCCGGACGGTACAGCGGGCCACGGGGGCGGGCTCGCAGCCTACAGGGCGTGAAGGAAAACCTTCAGGCCCCCTTGAGCCCCTCCATGTAGGGCGCGCTTCAGCAGAAAATTTTCCTTTTTTTACTGGAGCCTCGGTGGTTGGCGCGCCGTAACGAATCGACGAGTGCTGCATGGCGGCGTGCTTCAAACGTTGCGCGCTGGGGCAAAAATTTCCTCTTTTTACTGGCCGCTGGCCCACTGCCGCAGCCGTCAAGAAGCTGGTCAAGGGGGCGTGTGCGAGCAGACTGGGTACGAGTCGGTGAACTCTAACATAATGCATGAGGTACCAGACGTTGACGTTGAACCAGTCACGTCGAGTAATCAGCTTATTTTTTGCTTGTGTGTGTCTTTTTTTAGGTTGGTGACATTACTAGCCGGCTTTCGCTCTGCCTGGCTGTGGCATTCGGCATAGAGATGATGCTTTCTTCTGTCTCTGCTCTACTCAAAGAGAGTCAAGTCAATTTGAAAGAGAGACGATCAAAAATAGGGACAAAATAGCATGGCATTGATACGAGAAAGGACAACATTCGAGTCGCGCCATCTAATACTGGTAGAAAAGGCTTGGCTTTGGTTCTGGCAACCGTTCCGGAGCCAAGACCCGCAGCTCCGGAGCATCGAGGTTAGAGGTGGGGCAACTGTCCGGCGAAAGCTTTGGTAGTCCGGCAGGTACGTACCGAATGGGTTAAATGTGAGCGCGTGATTAGATGAGGAGCCAGGAAAAGAATCAGAATCAGAATATTACTTTGCTACCTGTACTAAAAGGCGCTGAACTGTAACCCAAAAGCCACTGGCATTTTGGCTGAATCTTTGTAATGCAACAAGATCGGCACAGAATTTCTAAGCAGGCGCATCAAACAGCGACAGAAACGGCGGCCATGACGTGCTGCAACCGACGAGTTACGCACGCCGCCGCCGCACCGTTGCGATGACAAACCTCCCCCGCCGACGTCGCTGGGCAAGCCACTTCACTAGGTAGTAGGCCGCTAACTAATTTGTACCCAAGGTATAGATTCACGACAAGCCATGGTGCGCCCTGCCGCTGGGACCAGTCATATGACGGACGCCAATTGCCCCCAAACATTTGCGGCTGATTGAGTCGAGGCGTGTTTGGCGTTTGGTGGTCACTGACAAGCCCAAGGGCGCATTGCGTTATTGTCTCGACGTTGCCTGGCCCATGTGGGTGCATGCGGTAGCGGTAGTGGTAAGTAAGGCGTGCGGCGGCCGGGGCATGAAACGAGGAGTAGTAATCATGGTGAGATGATGAATCGAGGATTTTTGTTTTATTTTGTTGCTAGATTGGAAATAGCCAAGAGGAGGGTTTTGGAAGAATCGGTGTCTAAATGGATGACCGCTGTTATTCGTGCATGCAGAGTGCATCAATCGACAGTGGTGGGACTGATGGAACAGTCTCTTTTTTTCTTTTTTTTTTCTTGTGGCAGTGGCAGATGCGTGCCGATTGCCACCTGCCAACTGCCACCTGCCAACTGCCAACTGCCAACTGCCAACTACTGCCAACTTGCCACAGCTCGCAGCTGGCAACGTCGTCGTCCAGGGCGTGCACATCTCCACCGCCGACAAGTTTACAGTGGACACTGACCAAAAACAACAGTTGTGTTCAGGTGCATTCAGCGCTCGACGTTACCGCGCTGAGGAGCAAAGGGGCGTGCAAAATGCCCCCGTTTGGCTTAGGGTGTGGCGCTAAGCCAGTACGTACCTGGTGGCTCCATCGGCGGCCCATGCATGTACATGCTGTGTGGATCCCTCCATCGGCCCTCGACGGCTTCTGGCCCGCGACAAAAGTGAATCCAACTTGTAGTTTCTAACAAGGTGAAATGACACACACTTACCATGCCCTATTCTCTCCCGATATATTACTCCTCCATACCCTTCCCCGTTTTACATACCTCTTGCTCTTATCTTTCTCCCATCTCGTTACAACTGGTCCCCATCTTGTACCCCAGACTTATACAGCTCTACCCGTTGCCACCAGCTACATCACCTCCATCGTCACATCTACTACGGCCTGCACCATCTCCCTATTCCTACCTTCTTCCCGGCTACAGAAAGCTTCAAACGCTCACCATCCTCGCCATACAACACGCCTCCGTTGAACAGACCTCTGAGAAAACGGCCCTCATACGCCTACCCTCGCCACTAAAGCAAGCCCTGCAGCGATCTCGCGCTATTCCCAGTTGTCACCACCACACCACACACACCCTCTTCGCCTTCCGTCCTTCGACCTCGCCGAATCGACCTCTTGTGGCGCCCTGCACCACAAGCCTCAACTTTCCACCTCTCCTCGCCAGTCTCCCAAGCGATCCCTGTGCATGAGTGCCTAGCTTCCAAAAAAATCCTTGGCTGGCCTGCACTCTCCTCCGACAAACGGACACCACCTACCACATCGGTCTGCCTCTCGCAGCCACGATTTCTCTGCCATAGCAAGGCTCGACGTCGTGTGCCCCTCCTACTGTCGATACCAAGACACCAACAAGCCACTTTCAAGGAGGGGTACGCTCGGCATTTTTCTGAGATTCTTCTGTGTCGCCCATCATCTGCCAACACTTGAATCCTGAAGAGCCCACCACCTCATCGCCCACATCCACTTACACCAGCACCGCACCGCACCGCACCAAAACAAACCGACGACATGCCTCACCTGGTCGCCAACTTCCTGCGGTCCTCGACCGGGAACATTTCGCACATCAAAAATGTGGCCCGCTCACGCACCGCCTCCCGCAACGCCTCGTGCGAGTCGTCGCGGAACAACTCCGTTTCTGGCAGCCCCTACGAGTCCGACGTCGACGAGCACGCCGTCAAGGCCCACGATTTCATCGACGCCGTCAAGAAGCACCACAAGCTCTCGCTCCCCTTTGGTCGCTCCTCTAGCTCCCCCGTGCGCGAGCTGAACCCTGCTTCCTGTAGCGTCGCCGCCCTGGACTGGAGCATCGAGAGCCCGCCCATCATCTTCCACGGCACCCCCGAGGACAGCACCGGCGCCATTGTCTCGGGCCAGCTCTTCCTCGACATCAAACAGGACGTGGTCGAAATGGACAGCTTCAAAGCTCACCTCAGCATCCACACCACGCACAAGCGCCCGTGCCAGAGCCACTGCGCCGAGTGCCAAAGCCAGGTCACTGAGTTGCAGGCATGGGTCTTTCTCGACCACCCCACCAAGCTTCACCGTGGCAAGCACGCATTTCCCTTTTCTGCGCTGCTCGGTGGCGAGCTGCCTGCCAGCTCCAACACCCCTCTCGTCTCCATATCCTACGAGTTCAAGGCCGTCGCACAGGTATCGCGCCACGCCACAGGTACCTCGGCGCCCATCCAGCTTAAGCTGGACCGCACGCTGCTGGTGAAGCGCGCCGTTCCTGAGCCGCTCTTCCCACACCACTCGGTACGCGTCTTCCCGCCGACCAACATCAAGGCCAGCGCCGACTACGTGTCCGTCGTGCACCCGACCAGCACCAACACGCTGACGCTCAAGCTCGACGGGCTCATGACGCACAACGAAAAGGTCAAGACAGTCGACCTGTGGAAGCTCAAGAAGGTTACATGGAAGCTCGAGGAGACCATCAAGACCATTGCCCCCGCCTGCGACAAGCACGCGTCGTCGGCCACGGCCATCGGCGACGCCCGCGGCACCGTCCGCAACGAGGTGCGCATCATTGGCGAGAAGCAGCTGCACGAGGGCTGGAAGTCGGACTATGCAGGCCACGACGGCTCCGTCGACATGGAGCTCGACTACAGCATCAGCCAGGCTCGCAACAGCGCCGGCGAGCTCAGGTACGCCTGCGACACCAAGACGGCCGACGGCACCGAGGTCTCGCACTCGCTGCTGCTCGAGCTCATCGTCTCCAAGGAGTATGCGCCCGAGGGCAAGGCCCACCAAGCCACGCCGACCGGCACCGGCCGCATCCTGCGCATGCACTTTGCCGTCGTCCTCACCGAGCACTCGGGTCTCGGCGTCAGCTGGGACAATGAGGCGCCGCCCATCTACGAGGACGTGCCGCCCAGCCCGCCCGCCTACCCGCTCGAGTCGCCCATTGACTATCGAGACCTCGAGCCTCTGTATGCACGTCCTTCGAGCGTTGACGTATCGGCATCTGATGACGAGCTGCCGTCCCCGTCCTCATAGTGTGACCTTCACGCATAGCATCTGAGTTTAGCCATCCTGGCTGCAATTCCTTTGACATTTCGAAGCGGTTTCTTCTTTTGTGTTTTTTTATATATATACCCCGGCAGCGAATAACGGCACTGCATCGGAAGGATTCTTTTTGGTCTATAACATGTTCACTTTCTACTCCATGACGACTTATGAAACATGAATGGGAGCATATGACTCCTGTGGGAGTTGTTTCGGCATTGGGGCGTAGCCCGCCAGCATAGGTGTATCTAATATCTACAATGAAATACATGTCCATGTACATTTTCTGCTCAACGCTGTGCTGCTCTATTTGAATGACGGGCCTTTCTCGTACAACCAGCGTAACAATGTTTCACATTGATCATGATGACCCTTTATGTCGACACGGCCGGTGCACCCCAGTAGTACGTGAAGATATCCACGCCCATGTACTCGTCCTTGTACGTTTTGGCAGCGCCATCCTCCTCCCTCGCGGCGCCGGCGCACACAATCAGCGGCATGAAGTGCTCGCCACCGCGCGGCGGGTGCATCATGTCGGCGTGGGGCAGCTCGCGCCAGCGCGCGACCCTGTCGGCCCTCTCCGTAGCATTCGCCGGCGCGACGGCCTCGGTCAGGGCGGCGTTCCACTCGTCCGTCTTGGCCTTGAACGCGAGCCAGTTCTTGTCGAGCGAGTTGCCGGCGAAGCCGCGCAGCGAGCGCATGATGCCGAGGTTGTGAAACGACGCGAAGCCCGACCCGACAATGGCGACGTTGTCCTCGCGCAGCGCGGCCAGCGCGCGCCCCATGCGCAGGTGCTGCGCGGGGTCCTCGCTCGCGAGCACCGACACCTGCACGACGGGGATGTCGGCGGCCGGCACGGCGAGCGTG